TGTGAGACTGGAGCCGTGAGATAGCAATCAGAATAGCAACAGTCACACCCGTGGATAGACTTTACAGAGGGATGGGCAATGTTTGTTTGGTGTAGGGTATGGTATTCCTGTTGTGTATTGCCTGTGTTATGGAAAACTGACAATCCATTCTGCTTTTCAGTATCTGGAGAGGCCCCAATGTGAATTGCGTGGACAGCACTGGATACACCCCTCTTCACCACGCAGCCCTTAATGGACACAGGTAGATTAGCGATCACCGTTTGGAATTCGGGAATACGTCTGTTTATGCTCTGAAATTGAATGCAGCCTGGCCTGGCAGACCATTGTACAACGGGGAAGATGAATCTACTGATTGACTGTTTACTAAGGCTCTGAGTATTTATTAATGTCGTTTTTATTGTTGGCTTTTTCTGACCTGTCTCTTTATTCGTCTACAGCGAGGTGGTGGAGGTGCTGCTAAGAAACGAGGCTCTGACTAACATCGCAGACAACAAGGGCTGCTATCCTCTCCATCTGGCTGCGTGGAAGGGAGATGAGCATATCGTAAAGCTTCTCATTCACCAAGGACCTTCACACCCCAAACTCAACGAGCAGGTCTGCCCATGCACTTAGTCATCTATGTTAATGTGCATGTGTTAACGTTGGTCACTCTTACACTTCTGGTTTTGCTTGTACGTTCCTCATGCAGTACATGTAAGAGAAAACCGTATTGAAATGATGTCACTTTTCAATGTGTGTGTCTGCAGCAGACCCATAAAAGCCTAATGGAAGCTTGCTAGCTCTCTTTTACGCTAATGATTCTTTCCTTTTCAGCACATTTAGTCTCTGGTAGTGTCAAGATGACATTTCTAATGGTTTAAACATCAACTATATGACGTTTATCCTTTTCTAAATAGACTAAAGTGGACATTTTTTGCAAGAAGAGTCATATAGAGATAGTAAAAGTCTAGTGCAGCATGGCATGTATTTGAATAAGATGAACGTTAAAAAGACTGTGATGAGAGTACATGAACTCCAGTGCATCTTGAGCCTCAACTTCTCCTTTGATAATGTGATACTTGAAGTGCTTTGACAGCTTGCTAGAGTGAAAAGTGCTTGTTTCCTCTAACCATTTTAACTGTTTTAACTCCTACATTTGATATTTTATTTGGTTGCTTACCGCACAGATCGCTTCCAGACTGAAACCATCCCTGGCCTATCCTATTTGAGATGAGGAGAAATGACCCATAATGAGCTTTGCAAACCTAGTCAGAAACATTCGGTCAAACAAGCATTCGTCTGTAACCACAAAGTCACTCAGAAATATCTTGGTTTCATTGTGTGTCATTTCTCCCTGCCTGTTCATGACATCTAAATGTTTTTCTTCTCCTTTTTATTTAGTTTGGCTCATTTGCGACCATCACTCATTTGTTCATTGCTTGTCTGAACCAAAACCATCGACCTATCTTCTGTTCCTCCCTCCCAGAGCTCTGTAGACCATAAAGAGTTCAAACGCTGTGGGCCCTTTGACCCCTATATTAATGCCAAGGTGTGTACACAGTGCTGCCAAAACTTTTCCTTTAAACCTCCTTCTTTGCTTTAATGCTGTGTTGGCTTTCCGTGCTTGGGTGTGTTTGTCGCCGTTGCTTGTGGGGTCACTCTGCTGTAGAGATATGGGGAGGCTTTTAATTTCGCTGCTATCAGTCAATCTCTGCTCTCATGCTTTCTCCACATGTTGTGATGTCCAGTTATATTGAGATGTTATGTTTGCCACGGGGGACTCTGTTGTACTAGCCTCTTGATCATGATTGTGAATACATAAGGTGTTGTATTAAAATGCCCTTGAAAGTTTAGAAAATGACTGTCTTCCAGGGGACGCTGTAGGTCATTTGAGTCTTTTTCCAGTGGGTAAGAAAAACCTGATTTAAGTACCGTAAAGTTGTTGGCAACACAGAGTCAGCTGTAGAGGATTATACTGGAAGGATACGCACACCCCACCATCAATTAAGCTATTATAATCATTACGGTATTACTCCAATCTTTCAAAGGCTGAAAGTTGTATGAGATAAAGAAGGTCTTCTGTGAAATCTTTCGATGGATTAGCACAAATTCCGGTTTTCATGGTTCCCAGACAATAAAGTATGATGACTTTTTTTCCTAAGGGGCCAACATGAGATTGAGATTTTTGTTGTCAGAGATAAATGTCTTAACAGATGGAAGATAGCAACACTGGTTACAGGGATTTTTATCTCCTTGAAGAGGAACAGAAACTTTGATCCCTGTGTGTTTTTT